GTCGTTCTTTTATCGGAAGCGTGACGTAATGTGACGTGGAGGCTATAGCATTCGCGCAAAGGAACTCGTCGAGATTCTTCGCTTCCTATCACGCTGTTCGAATCGATAGAAACGACCGTTCGCTATTTTTAGTCGCTCGCGCCCCCCGATCTTCCGGCTAAAATTAATCGGCAGAAACTACCCCCGTCCGGCGATAATTTCGCAACGTATCGCAGTCGATTAATCTGTCCCTTGACGCTACTTCGACCAGGAGGAATGGAAAAACGGGGACCTCTTTTCGATTAAAATTTTCCTTTCCGCACCAATTCCCGTTGTATCCCCGAGTTCGACGAACGCGACCCGTTCGCGAGCCCTCGACTTACCCTCGTCTCGACCAGTTCCAATTGCGCGAAATTCCTGTTCACTGGGCCGACGCAAAGAAACACAGTTAGCAAGTTAGCAAAGAAACATCGACGGTCCGTTCTCGCTTCGTCGAAACGAATCGATCCGATTTACGCGCTACTCGACGGGGTTGCTCGTGGGGGTTGCTCGTGGGGGTTGGTCGGGCGGATGATGATCGGAGAGTGTACGCTTGGTTCCCTGTCGGTGCGAGACCGATTCAATCGAGACTTAATCGTGTGATCAGTGTACCTGTTGGGTCCTCTCTGGCGGGGCCTGGATCTGGGGAAGAGGTCACGTGCATGTCTTCGGCCACTAATTTCAGAGGAGACTTTAACGACCGGTTGGTTGGTGATGATTGGTGGTGTTGATGTTATTGTCGATGATGGCGATAATGACGATGATCGGTATATTTTTTCATGGCGGTGGTCGTGATGGTTGGCTGATCAAGAATGTGGTGGTTGTTGTAATAGTAGTTGTTGTTGTTAGAACGGGGTGAGTGACGAAGGGGCGGATGCGGGCGTGAATTTGGCCCCCGTTAGGGGGTTGCTAAACGTTTTATCACCTACACATCCAAAGCAGCTCATTCCACGCATTCCAATCGCAGCACTTTTTGCTCTTTCTTTTACATGTAGATATTTTTTTTTTTTTTAATTTCTATTCGATTTACTTCATCGCATTCGCGTTTAGTTTTCCGTTTCTTTTTTTTTTCTATTTCTCTGAACTTTCCCCGATCAGCCGTCCTTTTTTTTTTTTTTTTTTTTTTTTTT